CCAATCGAGAATTTGTGGAAAGAACTGAAAACTGCTGTTCACAAACGCTCTCCATCCAACCTCACTGAGCTCGAGCTGTTTTGCAAGGAGGCATGGGCAAAAATTTCAGTCTCTCGATGTGCAAAACTGATAGAGACATACCCCAAGTGACTTACAGCTGTAATCGCAGCAAAAGGTGGCGCTACAAAGTATTAACTTAAGGGGGCTGAATAATTTTGCACGCCCAATTTTTCAGTTTTTTATTTGTTAGAAAAGTTTGAAATATCCAATAAATTTCGTTCCACTTCATGATTGTGTCCCACTTGTTGTTGATTCTTCACAAAAAATTACAGTTTTATATCTTTATGTTTGAAGCCTGAAATGTGGCAAAAGGTCGCAAAGTTCAAGGGGGCCGAATACTTTCGCAAGGCACTGTACTTTTCAAAAAGAAATAACATTTCTTAGCATCAACAACTGACTATTTTCAATTAAATATAAATTTTACATGGTTAGCAAAACATTGTATTCAGTTTATATTTACATTTTACACAGCATCTCAACTACTTTGGACAGGGGATTGTAATTTAATGCAATAACTCAGCAAATTATTTTTCATACCTAGCCAGATATAATGATATAAAATAAATCAATACTGGAAGAGGATTTTCTGGTTATTGTGATGTTTCCTTTGTTCTTATTTCCTGGCATTAACAAGTAAAGAAGGGCATTTTGCTCCACCATCTCTCCACCACTGATATTCAGACAGGGAGTGACTCTTCTGACTCCATCTGTGAGTTGCTCACACATTGTGAACCCCCTGTGAACAGCTTTAGACCATAAAAGATTAATGCTGGGATTCAATTCAACATTCCACCTTAATCTCCTTAACAATTAGGCTGTTAAAGCAGGCACAATTATGTTTATTACACACAGTCTCAGTGGTCCTAACTCTTGAGAGAGATTTATAAAGCAGCAGCACAGGGGAGACACCAAAGGAACCAACAGATACCCCCAGTAAATACAGAAAACAAAACTCTTCTCAGATTTGTAACCATAAATTAAATCTGGGTAGCTGCTCTTTGTGTGTTGGATTCTTACCATATCTGTGTTGAAGGGGGCAGTTCAGCAGATGTTTCCCGGTTCAGTGCATCCTTGGTGGGTGTGGGGGCATGTCCAGGTCCCCTACCTTCCCTGATCCTGGCTCCTGCCAGGGCAGAGAAAGAGGATCACTCACCTACTGCAACCAGCCCACCTGTTCACACAAGTAACTGCCAGCATAACACTTCTATTGTACCGGTTAGAGAAAGAGAGAGACTGTTTTTGTTAGTCACACTAGAAGAAGAAGAAGCTTTATTTTATTGTCATTGTAACACGTACAACAAAATTTTGTTTGGAGCTGAGGGCCCCGGGCCGTTGCGTGGATACACGCCACCATCACAAGCAACTTGGGATTTCAGTGTCTTACCCAAGGACACAATATGTAGACTGCAGGCACCGAGATTCGAACATGCAACCTTCCGGTTGGGAGACGACTGCTCTACCCACCATACCATTGTCGCCCACTAATCTAATTTGATGAGGTGCAGTGATGTTTTGCTTAAATATCAGTCTTTGGATTTGAGATTCAGTACCTGTGTTTGATCAAGCAGCAACTAAACAGTGGTGGAACATAACAGTAACTCAGGTATTGTACTTAAGAACATTCCTGTTTATGCTACTTTATATTTCTACCCCACTACATTTAAAAGAGAAATACTGCACTGCATTCATCTGACAACTGCCTATGTCAACATGTGAGTCGTCAGTGTGATGATTCGCTGTGGCGACCCCTAAACGGGAAAAACCGAAAGTGACTTTCCTATTCATCTGACAACTATAGTTAATTACTTTGATTTTACATGCAAAACATATGATCATCTTATGATGCATTTTTAGTAATTAAACCCTGTATAACAACACAGGTGTTTTCAGTCATGCAGCTAAATTTGATTTACTGAGGTTACAGTCGCAAAAAGTTCTTGGATTCATGTGAACCCATCAGGAAAGCCCCCAGAGGCCTGTAAAGTCACTATTTTTACCTTGTTTTACAAGATAATATGATTTGTGCATAGGGTTTAACAACACTGTTTTTCTGGATAATGAAAGATTTCTGATTTATTAATATAAAAATGGTCCATTATGCATACTGAGTACTTTTAGTCTACTTGAGTTAATTTACATTTTATGCTTATGCTTTACTTTGCTTGTAATACGTCTATGCTTTTACTGTACTTAAACAGAACAAACAGACAAACGCACCAGGGTCTACCCCAACCAGAAGCCCCGGATGAACTGGGAGGTCAAGCGGCTACGGAGAGAGAGGAACACTGCCTTCAGGACAGGCGACAGGGTTCTCCACAGCACAGCCCAAGCTAACCTGAAGAAAGGCATCAGAAAGGCCAAATTGGACTACAGGAGGAGGATCGAAGACCATCTGGACAGCAACAACAGCAGGCAGGTGTAGCAGGGAGTCCAGCATCTTACCAACTGCAGGAATAATCTCGGTGCGGATGGAGGGGACGCCTCACTGGCAAAGGAGCTGAACCTCTTTTTTGCCCACTTTGAGAGGCAGAAACCAGACACAGTCAAACTACACCCTGCAGCCAACAGTGGCCCCACCATCACAGTAGGGGAGCATGAGGTGAGGCGCACACTGCGGGCCGTAAACCCAAGGAAGGCTGCTGGACCGGACGTGTACTGAAGCACTGAGCAGACCAGCTGACTGGAGTCTTCACCAGGATCTTCAACCAGCCTCTGGCCCAGTCCACACTCCCACCCTTCCTGAAGTCCTCCTTCCTAGTTCCCCTGCCTAAGAAACCCAACATAACCAGCCTCAGTGACTACCGGCCGGTTGCACTCACTCTAGTAGTGATGAAGTGTTTAGAGAAACTGGTACAGGGACACATGTCATTCCTCCCACCAACATCTGACCCACACCAGTTTGCATATAGGGCAAATAGATCCACAGAGGATGCCATAGCCACAGCCCTTCATGCTGTGCTGTCCCACTTGGAGCATCAGGAGAGCTATGCATGGCGACTCTTTGTCGATTATAGTTCCGCATTTCACACCATCCTCCCCCACAAACTGGTGGACAAGCTGGTGAACCTGGGAATTCCATATCCCTCCTGCACATGGATTAAGAGCTTCCTGTCTGGACGCAGCCAGAGGGCGAGAATGGGCCCACACACATCCATGGCTCTCAGCCTCAGCACTGTTTCCCCACAAGGCTGTGTGCTGAGCCCCCTGCTCTACACCCTGTACACCCACAACTGCACCTCCGCCCACCACGGCAACACCATTGTAAAATTTGCTGATGACACCATGGTGGTGGGGCTTATCTCTGGGGGAATGAGACTGCCTACAGGGATGAGGTGGAGAGGCTGATAGTGTGGTGCAGAGAGAACAATCTGCTCCGTAATACATAACAAATAAAAAACTGAATAATTGGGCGTGCAAAATTATTCAGCCCCTTTACTTTCAGTGCAGCAAACTCTCTCCAGAAGTTCAGTGAGGATCTCTGAATGATCCAATGTTGACCTAAATGACTAATGATGATAAATAGAATCCACCTGTGTGTAATCAAGTCTCCGTATAAATGCACCTGCACTGTGATAGTCTCAGAGGTCCGTTTAAAGCGCAGAGAGCATCATGAAGAACAAGGAACACACCAGGCAGGTCCGAGATACTGTTGTGGAGAAGTTTAAAGCCGGATTTGGATACAAAAAGATTTCCCAAGCTTTAAACATCCCAAGGAGCACTGTGCAAGCGATAATATTGAAATGGAAGGAGTATCAGACCACTGCAAATCTACCAAGACCTGGCCGTCCCTCTAAACTTTCAGCTCATACAAGGAGAAGACTGATCAGAGATGCAGCCAAGAGGCCCATGATCACTCTGGATGAACTGCAGAGATCTACAGCTGAGGTGGGAGACTCTGTCCATAGGACAACAATCAGTCGTATACTGCACAAATCTGGCCTTTATGGAAGAGTGGCAAGAAGAAAGCCATTTCTTAAAGATATCCATAAAAAGTGTCGTTTAAAGTTTGCCACAAGCCACCTGGGAGACACACCAAACATGTGGAAGAAGGTGCTCTGGTCAGATGAAACCAAAATCGAACTTTTTGGCAACAATGCAAAATGTTATGTTTGGCGTAAAAGCAACACAGCTCATCACCTTGAACACACCATCCCCACTGTCAAACATGGTGGTGGCAGCATCATGGTTTGGGCCTGCTTTTCTTCAGCAGGGACAGGGAAGATGGTTAAAATTGATGGGAAGATGGATGGAGCCAAATACAGGACCATTTTGGAAGGAAACCTGATGGAGTCTGCAAAAGACCTGAGACTGGGACGGAGATTTGTCTTCCAACAAGACAATGATCCAAGACATAAAGCAAAATCTACAATGGAATGGTTCAAAACTAAACATATCCAGGTGTTAGAATGGCCAAGTCAAAGTCCAGACCTGAATCCAATCGAGAATCTGTGGAAAGAACTGAAAACTGCTGTTCACAAACGCTCTCTATCCAACCTCACTGAGCTCGAGCTGTTTTGCAAGGCGGAATGGGCAAAAATTTCAGTCTCTTGATGTGCAAAACTGATAGAGACATACCCCAAGTGACTTACAGCTGTAATCGCAGCAAAAGGTGGCGCTACAAAGTATTAACTTAAGGGGGCTGAATAATTTTGCACGCCCAATTTTTCAGTTTTTTATTTGTTAGAAAAGTTTGAAATATCCAATAAATTTCGTTCCACTTCATGATTGTGTCCCACTTGTTGTTGATTCTTCACAAAAAATTACAGTTTTATATCTTTATGTTTGAAGCCTGAAATGTGGCAAAAGGTCGCAAAGTTCAAGGGGACCGAATACTTTAGCACGGCACTGTATGTCAGCGGGGACCGTGTGGAGAGGGTGCCGGCCTTCCGCTTTTTGGGAGTCCATATTAAGGAGGATCTGACCTGGGGTGTGAATACCTCTAAACTGCTTAAAAAGGCCCAGCAGAGACTGTACTTCCTATGGGTGCTCAGGAAGAACAACATCTCCCAGAGACTGCTGGTGTCCTTCTGTCGGTGCTCCATTGAGAGCATCCTTACATACTGTATATGTGTATGGTATAGAAGCAGCAGTGACTCAGAGGAAAAAGCTCCAGAGGGTCATTAATACAGCCCAGGAGATCGTCAGCTGCCCTCTCCTCACTCTAGAAGAACTACACAGTTCCCACTGCCTCAAAAAAGCCCAGAACATCATTAAGGACACTTCACACCCAGGACATTCACTCTTTGAACTGCTGCCCTCAGGAAGACAGTTCAGAGCAATCAAATCAAGGACCATTAGATCAAGGAATAGTTTTTACCCAACAGCAGTTACCACACTCAGTGCTGCTAAAATATAATATGCCTGTGTGTGTGAGGTCTGTTGTTTATTTGGTTTTTATAGCGGTTAATTTTTTATACGGCCTTATTTCATGTTGTTTTTTTTTTATTGCAGCACGACTGGAGGTCACTCTAAAATTTCGTTGTACGTGTTACAATGACAATAAAGGATTATCTTATCTTAATTTAGATTGTAGGACTCTTGTTTGTAACAGAGTATTTTATAGTGTGCTACTACTACTCTCACTTAGGTAAAGTACCTGAATACTTCTTCCACAACTGCAACACAATTTAGCCGAATTTAGGGAGAAAATGGATTTTGCAGAGTTGTGCAATAGAGTAGCATACTGAAAGATTCTCTAACTCACGTTTTGTGCTACAAAGTTTTGCTTTTCTCAAGATAAAACACATTTCTAGAGGGTAAAAAATAGGTCGAATAAAATATTACCAAAAGTTAATTATAATGATGCAACTCTCCCCTGTTCAAGATAAATCAGTTATCCATACGCGCAGTAAAGAAGTACAGAGAACAAACCTCAAACAAACAATGGCCGCACTGAGTATAACGCTATTGGATTTTAATAAAGAGTTAATTCGACTCCTCGGTCGTCTGTGGTTTATTTACCGTTTGATTTTCTCTCAGACGAAAATCTTGAAAGTTTCTTCCAAGGCGTACCGTTGAATTGCCACCAACTGGGTAAGAAAATACTACAACTCCCATTATTAATATAAGACAACAAATCGCCATGATTGTAGTTTTGACCACCATCCAGATCATCCGGTTGAACGACAGCATAAACGACATTATCCACAAAGCCAAGCAAAGGCCAGGAAGAGTTACTGATGTTTCCGTGGTCACCGTGAGATCGGTTCGCCGTCGGCTTCCTGCTGCATTGAGAAGAACGGTGTAAAGACCGACTGGGAAGACTCAGTACCATCACCTCAACTATATTATACAATGAAACTATTAGTAATATCTCCCTCTATCGATGTCTGCTTTGTTACGGCTATACTGCTGGTAAGCCTGTGTATTTGAGCTTTGTATCATTCCCTAATCGTTAGCTGCATTTAGCTAACGTTGCTAGCTAAGTAACGTTGGTTAGCCTACCGATGGGTGGTTAGCTGCTAGCTAACCGATGAGACTGCTGGCATGAGACGTGGCTTTTAAATTGGCACTGGTAACTGGTGTGTCACTTCACCCGCTGCCAGTGGTGCAGATGTTTAGCAGGTTCACTGAAGTGGCTTTTTGATTGTGTTTCACCGAGCGACTTTAGTAACTAGCTAACAAGTTATCCAGCTGTAATGCCAACTTAGCCGGTAGTGTTGAGTAACGTTAGCTGTAGTGTTTTAATTGGCTACAATACCTTTTATATACTCGAGATATTACTTATATAGTGATGTATATTCCGAACTCCGAAACACGAGCTAAAGTTGGACTCATGATAACTTTATTGAGAAGTGAAACACCCAGATACCATTAGGTGCGACCCCATATTGACAATGCCGATATAAGGTTAATTACTCGTTGCTAGCACAGTAAAAACGATTTATTTATTGTCTGGATTGCCCTGCTGTGTTTGCTCAGCCTTAATGAATGTTTTGGTGCTGATCCACAAAGTTATTGTTGGACTCTTCGTGTATCTGTGTATATGTCTGAATATTGCTCGCCGGTTGGTGAATTCCTCTGTTGTGGCTCATTCTTATTGGCTGACAACCCGGAACTAGACAGAGCGCAGTTTGGGCCCGAAATGAAAATTGAAAACTTCTCACTGAGTTACATGGAGGTGTGTTTTACTCTTTTTTTTCGATTTTTCGATAGTCAGCCTGAGTTTTAGATCAGGAAACATTTAACCAACACCAAACTAAGGAAAGGACAGTGACTTGAACTCCGACTACTGGTTTGTGTGTGAGCAAAAGTTCAATTATCTTTTGCTAACCTGGTAAAAGCACGAAGTGGCATCACCTTCGGCTGTTTCACTGCTTAAAACTAGAGAATTTGCAGTCTTCCCTAGAATCCATGACAATAATTGTGTTTGTCACAGCCTCAAGGATGATAACAGTCATATATCCTGTTTGCAAAAGATCACCACAGCGGATAAGGAGATGGTGCGGATATAACTAAAGCATTGTAATGATACAGGGAAGTAGGTATCAGTATGATGCAGAAAAATATGTGATTACACGTTTTGATAATGCATTCATCTTCTCTCATGATGCTTCCATTGTTAAACATAGGCTCTTTTAATAAAAGATTTCATTCAGGCTACATTAACCTCCATTTGTTTGTGTTTGCGTTTTCAGTTGACAGTCAACAACTCTCTTTTTTGTTTGTTTGTTTAGAAGTTTTACCTTTATTGGAAAGTGCATTGCAAAAAATACCAACATATCTTTGGTATGTAACATTAGACCTGTTATAGTTTAAGCTCGTTCTGGGGTAATCTTATATTTAGACTAGGTGTTCGTTCTTTTGTCTTTAAACTCTTTACTTGACTACAGAAGAGCCCTGCACAAGAATTCCTATATGCCTAGACTGTCTGTTTATGCATAAATGGCAAATAAAACTTGAATCTTAGAAAGAGGATGTTTGTAAAAATGCGTGCAGCACCCATGCCTGTAATAACGACCACGTTCTTAGACTGAAAACTAAGAATGCAGATACGGTCCAAGCAGACAAAAGTGAAGCCTTGAAGATGGCTCCTTCTCTATGACTGGGTGAAGAGTTGAATCATCAGGGTGCAACTCCTAATTGGATAAGCTGCAGATTCATCTAGAAATGACATTTTATATAGTTTGGAGACCTTTGGAAGAATGTGAACTCAGCATAAATGCTGCTCCACTGTTGCATGTTCTTGTTATGCCTTTTCAGGGACATCCTAGAGTTAAAAATATTTGGTGTTGTGTACTTTATTAAAGGGGAGGTACACATAAAGAAAACACCATTTTGATCAGTTATTGGCATAGATCTTCATCAGGGCCCCAGTGAAGATGTACACAGTAGAATAGTGCACACATTCTTTGGTTCTGACAAATGTTTCTGGGACTTCTAGATCATTGCCATAAATAATTCTCAGTAGCTTATCAATATAATGGGATAGTTGCCTGCAAGTTGAAATCTTGCTTGTGGATGCTTCATATGGACTCTGTTTTATGACATTGTTTACTGTACACTTAGCTCACTTCCAGGAACAACCGGCTGGGACAGGCTGAGGAAACAATGGAGAGGTCACACCTCTCAGCCTTCCTGGGACACACTGGGTGTTACACAGGTGTAGTTGTAGAAACAAATGTCTTAGCTGCTTTGCTCATCTGCTCTCCACTGCAAGTCTAACCCCTGCACATGGCCAGAAAAAGGAGCTGTTGGTTTTCTCTACATTTTACATTGATAGGATTGCATTGTTAAGGCATGAGTAGTACGGTGGTATACTTGACAGTGTGAGTGCTGGTCATTCTGTAGATATGCCGGTTGACAGTGTGCTGACAGGCTTGTTTGATCCTGTCTTCAGTTAGCTATCTTCACTCTTTTCTCTCCCTCCCCCACACAGTAGTGTTAACCATCATGTGTCTTTTATGGTTGGTTTGCTAACCTCCGTTTTATCTGTGTGACCACAGGTGATGGGCCTTTCGACTCCAGGACAAGCAGAAGTCACCAGTCTGGACTCAGGCAACATTGATGATGTCCTAAGTAAGACATCATACTTTTCTCTTTGAAAGTGTTTTATTAATGTTTTGGAAAGAATGTTTATTAGCTTTTTTTTTGTTTTTTTTTTTGCTGAGAGTTAAATAAGAACATACCACCACCACCACAATATGAAGCTACAGCCAGCAGTTGTTTAGCTTAGCTCTGTAAAAAGACTGGAAACAGAATTCCTTGTATTTCTTTCTCCTCCAACTGTCAGAAAGAAAGCAAATAAGCATATGTCATAAAAATCTAACTTTTATTGTAACAGTCATTCTGATCTTCTTTATCCACAGTTTTTTCTTGGTTGTCATTCACATTAATTTCTTCAGCTTTTTTACCGCCCCCCAAGGATGTTACAGTATGTTTTCAGTCCACTTTGACAGGCTTTTTGTTGTCAGTCAGCAGGATATCATAATCTTTTTTTCTTGGATCCCTGCCACCACATATCTGTTCATACTGGCCACACATTTTGCCATGCACTCTTTTTTTTATTTTTTTAACCACAAGTTATATGGCTAAGAGTCACTGGTCATAGATGTTTGTTACTAAATTACTTTGTTCTTTTATTGTTTTTTTTCTTTCCTTTGGTGAGTCAAAACTGAGGGTTTCAGATGAATTAGTCAATTTAATAAATTTTACTAGCAAAATATACATTAATGAGTGTATTCAGTAATGTGTAGTCTTATATTTATTATCTGTTTGTGTGTGTTTATCTGCAGATAATGCTGGGGTTGCATTAGTCAATTTTTATGCAGACTGGTAAGTGTGACTCTCACGGCCACTGGACCTCTGTATATTATGTCAGAGGTTTAAACTGAGTTTTGCTCATGATGCCGGCATTTCCTATGAATGTCACATGGTGCCACAAGTATGATTTGCTTAGTGTGATTTGCAGTGGAGATGTTGTTTATTCTAAAAAGATTTACATAGTATGTCTGTTTTCTGAGCTGTTCTAAATATAGTCAGTGGGAAAAAAGGAATCTGTTTTAGGCAATAGTCATTTACTGTAAAATGTAGTCTAAGGGGTTAAAGCTTATTTAACCTACTTACATGTTATCAAACATCCTTTGACCTTATACCACTCTCCCCATCTCCCCCTACAGGTGTAGGTTCAGTCAGATGCTCCATCCAATTTTTGAGGAGGCATCTAACATAGTGAGGGAGGAGTTTCCCGACACCAAGCAGGTGGTGTTTGCTCGTGTTGATTGTGACCAACATTGTAAGTATTATTTACCTCCATATTTTGTCGTTTTTTTAAACATTGTCAAGAAACATACCAAACATACAGATGTAAGTAATATTTATACTAAATAGTTATTAATCTTTTTTGTTTAACTTCTAGCATAAAAAATGAGAAGCGTCCCTCATGAAGATTTACTTCATAACAGTGTGAAGTAATTTTGATGCTGAAACTAGAAAATGTTTGTATTTTTTGAGTAGAGCCGATATAAATGATGAATATTTTATCAAAATAATTATAATTATTAGTATTTGTTGTTTATGGTGCCCTAAACTTCTATAACGCTGTAGTTCTATATACAAGAAACAAAAAAAAAACACGCACACATTTTTATTATATTTGATGTACATATGTACACATAGATGGCCAGCACACCAAAGCATAGGCACATAAACCTCCAGCCTCAGCCTTTTGAGATAAAGCAAATTAAAGAGAATTATTGATAGCCTGCAAACTGTTTGAAGACTAATGACAAAACTGCAGCTTCCTGTGAAGACTGGGGGCTTAGAGGCACCCTGCGGCGAGATTGACACCTGCCACATGCACACACACATTCATTCATTGTGTGCAGAGAGAATATTTACTCTTAGCATGGGGCCAGCTTTCATGTGGGAGATCAGAGCTTTGAGCTGACTGAAGGCAGTGTTTTCAGACCGAGGTTTAACCACTGTCTCTCTGTCACTGCTTCGCTCCTCATCCACCCATCCCCATGTGTTTTTACTCTACTTTCTCCACTTTATCAATTGATTTGTCCTTCTTTACTTAACTTCTCCCCTGCCTCTGTGTCTAGCCGACATCGCCCAGCGGTACCGCATCACCAAGTATCCAACACTGAAGTTGTTCCGCAATGGAATGATGATGAAGAGGGAGTACAGGGGTCAGAGGTCGGTGGTAGCCATTGCTGACTTCATCCGCCAGCAGCAGGTCGACCCTGTGAAAGAAATTCACTCACTGGAGGAGGTTAACACCCTGGATGTAAGTGGCAAATACACGCACTGTTTATTGAAATACACATTTCCACATTATAAAATAAAATTCAGTTTTTATTTTTGTAAGACATTTGCTTTCCTACTGAACAGAGAAGCAAGAGAAACATCATAGGTTACTTTGAAACAAAAGACTCCGATAACTACCACACATATGAAAAAGTTGCCAACATCCTTCGAGATGACTGCACATTCTTGGCTGCCTTTGGGTGAGACACAGTACCATCTTTAGATATATGTGGAGGTCATATATTACCCAATGTTTTAATGATATTCTTATGTCTGTAACTGTTATCTTAAACTTTTCTTAACTATTTTGCAGTGCTGTGTCTCAGCCTGAGCGCTTCAGTGGAGACAATGTGATCTACAGACCTGCTGGTGAGAACGCTCCTGACATGGTCTACTTCGGCTCACTCGCTAACATGGACCTGTCCTACGCTTGGACCCAGGACAAGTGTGTGCCTCTGGTCAGGGAAATCACTTTTGAGAATGGAGAGGTTTGTTGTCTGCTTTTGCACATAAAGCATTGTCACCATGATAATAATATTGTCTCACATTAGATGTGTATGTGTGTTTAGGGGTCTCCAGCCTCTTTTACTCGGAGAGCTACTTTGGGAAAAATGAAAGGGGCTGAGAGCTACTCATGTTTTATATTAGGCTGCTAGTTACATTTAATCACATACAGTATCAAAACTTTCAAACAGATCTCCAAACCAAACCAGCTGAATAAGCTAATTGTTTTGTTTTAACCAGTTATCAAATATAAATATTTTGTATAAAAAAACATAACATCAGTCATCACATCAGATTGCTAAGCTCATGTGCACCTCCTTTCATTTATCAAAACCTAATTTTATAGATTGCATGCACTATACTTCTCTGGCATCTCTTCACTGGCTTGTATTTACTTCCCCTTGGCTCTATCTTTAGGAAACATGGGGTGTCTTTCCACTGTTATGCTGACGATGTCCAGATTATTATGCCACTGACTAAAAAGGACACCTACTCGATCCAACCGCTTTTTTGGGGCAGTATGTGCGATCGGTGGTCACTGATCTAGGGGTTAGAATAGACTCGGATTTGAGAATGGAGAGCCAGATAAATGCGGTTGTAAAATCTGGATTTTTTTATTTACGGCAATTAGTGAAATTAAAACCCTTTTTGTCGCAGCAGCATCTGGAGACAGTGATCCATGCGTTTGTTACATCACGCATGGATTACTGTAATGCACTGTATGCTGGAGTTGGTCAATCGGGGCTTGCCCGCCTCCAGAGGGTCCAGAATGCTGCCGCTCGGTTATCGGTTGGGGGGCGTAAGAGGGACCACATAACGCCAGTGCTGGCATCTCTCCACTGGCTTCCGGTGCGCTTTAGGATTCGTTTTAAGATTCTTTTATTTGTTTATAAATCCTTAAATGGGCTGGCACCATCTTATCTGGTGGAACTTTTACGTCCGTATAACCCGTCACGGTGCCTCAGATCAGCAGATCAGCTTCTTCTGGAGTCACCGAGGGCTAGGTGTAAAACAAGGGGGGATAGAGCCTTTGCTGTGGTAGGTCCAAACCTATGGAATGCGTTGCTGCTTTATATTAGGCAGGACCCCTCACTGTCTACTTTTAAGTCTTATCTGAAGACCCACTTGTATTCATTGGCGTTTGACCAGGAATGACACTCTGTCTGTAGTGTTAGTATTTATATTACTGTTTATAGCTTTTTATGTGTGGTTTTTTTTATATTTGTATGATATGTTAAGTGCTTTGGCCAGCTGTGCTGTGGTAAAGCGCTATATAAATAAAGTTGAGTTGAGTTGAGTATAGGTGTTGTAAAAACAGTGGAAAGGTGGTTATTGTAGTTTGTGCTTCTTCTCAACACAAACAACCATGGAGGCAATTATAACAGGCTACTTAAAACCTCCTGGTGCCCGACTGCAACAGTTTAATTAAAGAAAAGACGTTATACATTTTGTGTTAATTACACATTCCAAGGATATCATGGTCTCAGATGTCCACTGTAAATAAACGTCCACAGTCCCGCTTAGAAATTGTAGAAAAAGACACTCCTTATAATGCCAGTATTTGACAGAGTGTCAAACCAATGCATTGACAGCTGGCAGAACATCCAGTGGTACGTAGTAAACAGCAGCTGCTAATAGCGAATTTGGCATAGTGTTCCTTACTTTACTGAAATGTAGCCTAAACATGCTGCAGGCCACAGCACAACAAACTGAATCCATGGCAATGTACCTTCTGTTTCTGGTACAGTAACAGTACATGTTGATCATTTCATTTAAGTGAAGAACACAAAGAGTTGATAACATCACTGAATGGCGTAACTGTTGGAAACAAACCTGACAGCAGCATAACTCATTTGATTGACAGGTGAATGGCAATTAATAATTTGGTGCCAGTGAGGGGCGGGGCATCTGTGTATTTGATTGGATTGCAGCTTGAGCAGGTTTACTGAGCAAAGTTGTGTTGTGTAACATTTTTAGTTTTATAATGCATGCATTGTAGACTACATACTGTATATTCTCTGAACCTTTAGTTGAGCTACTCTGAATTGGGTAGCAAGTTACTGGTAGCTCACGAGCGACATGTTGGAGACCCCTGATATATGGATATGTAGATGTACATAGATATTTACACTGAAAAACAGTCTGGAGGGGGTATTGATGAAGTCTATGTGTGGTCCATCTGCTGCACCACAGAAAAGCCTCGACTCCATCTGTCTTTGACATTTTGGCTTTGTGTTTTTTTGTGTGTTTTCCAGGAGCTGACTGAAGAAGGGATCCCATTCCTCATCTTGTTCCATATCAAAGAAGACACAGAAAGCTTAGAGATGTTCCAACAAGAAGTAGCTCGCCAGCTCATCAGTGAGAAAGGTGAGGGTTTGAGACATTTTGTATCTCTCAGGGAACCTGTCAGCCCTGTGGAGAGAAGTGGTGTTCATGACACTGGTGACAATGCTTCTCTTGCCTCCTCAGGTTCTATAAACTTCCTTCACGCAGACTGTGATAAGTTCCGCCATCCCCTGCTCCATATCCAGAAAACTCCAGCTGACTGTCCCGTCATCGCTATAGACTCTTTCAGACACATGTATGTCTTCCCCGACTTTAAAGACGTCAGGTAAGTACCACCTTTCACTTTGTCTATAAACCGGTATGGTTCTGTATGATGTGCTGGGTATGTGTGTGCAGCAGTTTAGCACTTGACATTAGGGACCCAGAGCATTATTTTGTACAGTACTATTTCATTCCTTATAAGGCTGGTAACTGTTTAATGCAAAAAGGAATAGCCACATAAAAATTTAAACTCACCACAGATGTACCTGTAATTAGAAATTAATCATCCGCATGTCAAATGAATATATTTACTGCTTTTGGACATTTTTGAGCAATTGTTGCCTAATACCGATGAGCTAAATAATGTCATTTACCCCTATTGTGAAATGATTCATAACAAGATCTTTTTAAATGAAGTGAATTTGATCACACGCGCACATGCACACACAGACATACACACCAACCACAATCCACTGTGCGCTGAACACCAGAGAAATGTCACCCATCCTAGTATCCATCCTTTATGAATGGGCCAGGACACCAGAGTTAATGTGACATGATTTGGCACGTGCAATAAGTGCTAAACTAATCCAGTCTAATCTAATTTAATCTTATTTATTCTGCCCACCACTCTGCCTCCCCCGTCCCCAATCAGAGTCTGATCAGATAGACAGAAGCCGCGAGGACTGACCAGCCTTCACAATCTAATTACATCACATCACCACTGCATGTGGCACACAACTTGTAATCACATCAGTGCAGTGTATGTTTTTATATATGTGTATATATATACATATATATATATGTGTTTGTTTGCATACTGTTCTGGTACATGGGGTTAGCTGTGACTGGGACCAGTTCTACTTGTGTGACCACAGCTGTCGTTAATGAGCACGCTTCACAGTGTTGATATGGATCAGTGCTGCTTCATGACATGTCCGCAGGGACTGATGTCCCCTCCGCTGCTGCCACAAGCTGTAGTGTTCCAAATCAGCGGTTAAGTCCGACCTGCTATGTAGTTCAGGCAGGTCAGTCTTTATTGTTTGACTGTGTGTGTAGGAATGCCTTTGCCAAACACACAGTTACTGTAATGCAACAAATGTCTTGGGATATGTGCTCTTAAGTGGCACATACAAGTGACAGTGATTTTCTTGTCTTGGTACAAGTTATGAATGGTGCATACCTGTCATATGACTCATGTACAGGTAGTTTGCCTCTTGTCACTTGAGATTTAAAACCCTTGAATAAGAATCATAATGCCTTTATTTGAATTAACTTGGAGCATAGATTTGTTACCATAATCTACTAACATGAAAATAAATAACTGAAATAAACTTAATGCAAAATCAGTATTACATTTACATGATATTATCATAACTTGCCAATTTATTATAAGGTTTGACAAGATTTTATTTAGATTGTATGGTTTTCCTTGGCATATTTTGCCATGATGACTTATTTGAGTAGCTGAGGAAAATTCTCTCAAACAGCAGTCTAAGAGTATTTATATGCACATCGTTGTCCACTGTCCTGACAGTGCAACATGACCTAGTGTTATCACCGATTTCTCTGTCACATGGCCACCTCCCAGTATGGACTACTTTGCTTTAGAAAGACATTTTGGTCTTGTTGGGGAAGGGGGTAAAGCAAGTTGTCCATTAATTGCAGAGTTGGTGGTTCAAATCCCAGCTCCTGACGGGCCAGTGCCCCGTATGGCAGCCTGACCACCACACTGATGTGTGAATGCGTGCATGAATGGATAAAT